GAAATCCTGTTGAGTGGCGAGGCAGGGCAGACAAAAAGAAGGGAGAAAGACAGACAGAAAGCTTAGATAACAACCATGTTGGAAAATAAAAACTGTGGTCATCGTGTACTTGTCAGCTTTGTGAGTCAGTTTGACAGTAAATGTCACTAAATGAAAGTGTGTTAGTGGTGAGACACCTGTTGTGCCATCTGTACTTTAGGTTGGTATATAGATGGCTTTGGTGTGTGTGTGTGTAAGATGAAGTGAGTACTTACGCCTGCATAGTTGTGGTAGCAGTCTGAAAGCTGAACATGTTCTCTTTAGGGAACCAACTGTTATCGTCTGGTTAGAAACAAACATAATGGATCACATTAGTATGGTTTTAAAGATATCTGAACATATATAAACTGAACATATATTTATATATTATGTAGTAGCCCCAAAATCTATTTGAACATGTATGCCATGAAAGACAACAAAATATCAAACCAAATCAGCATCCAAATGATGGTAGTTATACTATTCTTTTGTAAATCCTATCAAATGTCTGACATTTTGGCTTGAAAAGTACCCTTGTGCTGTTTTGTTTACAAATAAATGCCATTTGGTTTAATAATTTCTACAGTTTTAAATAAATGTTTTAGGTTCAAGCACAATTGCATACAATCGGTTACAGCAAAAAAAAAAACAATAAAAATGTTGCTTTTATTTTTCTTCAGTGAGTGAAAGGTCTGCTGGTCTCCTCTCCTTGTAGTTATTCATCAAAGACATTTGTGTATCTGTGGTCTGTTGTCAGTACATCAACAAAGACGCATTGTCAGGTAAGGACAGAACAGATTAAGTCTGTTTTCTGTCTGGTTTCAGTTGTCAGACCTTATAAATTAATGCAAAGAAAGTCTGCAAAATGCAAAACATTGATGCAAAATTTGATTAGACATTAAGACTACTAAAAAAACTTTATCTCTGCTTGATGGGCAAAAGTTTTCTGATGGTTGTTTGTCCCTATAAACGAGTGAGTTTATGTGAAAACCCTTTAGACGCAGTGATATACTGGCAAATTCCTCCTGATTGGTCAATTTCAGATCAATTGACAGATTTGCTTGTTTGACTGTACACACAAATTCTTTTTTGACATGAAAAATTGTCTGGAATTTGTAAGCCGCATAGCGTGTAAAGCTGCTGTCACACTGCACTTTTTTCCCCACGGACTTCCATTCATATGCACACAAATGTGTCAGACTGGAAACGCAAGCTCATGTGGCAAGTTTCGCAGTTCACTGCAGTGCAAAGTTCAAGCTTGGTGAACTCTGACCTGCGAAATCCCATCACTTGACTGCATAAGACTAATCTAAAATCAAAACATCACTCCCTGGACAGAAATTTAGAATATGGACCAATTGCCAGTTGAATCAGATGTGTTTTATTTGGAGCAATTAGGGGTACCTTTACACAGGGGTTTTAAGGTAAAAAAAAACACACATGAACCAGCTAGTCAAGGTCTTCAGACAGACAAGGAAAGGAACTTCCAGGCGATTGCATTAGATCAGACTGGACTAGACCAGGGGCCACCAACCCTGCTCCTGTTGAGCTACCTTCTTGCAGATTTCAATTGAAACCCTGACCAAACACACCTGTAGGTCCTAATTAATAGGTTCAGGTGTGTTTAAAAAGGGTTGGAATTGAATCTTCAGGGAGGTAGATCTCCAGGAAAAGGGTTTGTGATCCCTGAACTAGATTCTGGCCCTAAAACCCATTCCATGAACTATACAATGGGACTAGCAATGCCAAGTCATAGGCTTGATTCTAAAGGAAAGCATGTATGGATAAAATGTATACCTTACTTGGTCCTGGAGGGCCGGTGTCCTGCAGAGTTTAGCTAACCCTAATCAAGCACACCTGCCTTTAACTTTCTAGTGAACTTGAAGACAGTCGTTAGCATGTTTAAGGTGTGTTTGAATAGTGTAGGAGCAAAACTCTGCAGGACACCGGCACTCCAGGACCGAGTTTGCCCATCCCTGGTCTAGAGGACCAAGATTAAGCCCATATACTGACTTCTGAGCTTTAGATTTGAACCTGAAACATTCATTTAGATGTAGTTTAAGTGTCCAAATATTTTTGGGGCCACTGTGTGCAGATCCACAACACACACACACCCACACACACACACACACACACACACACATAGTCCACTCCACAGAGGGAGAGAGCACAAAAGAGACACAGAGGAGAGAGACACAGGAGATTGGGAAAAATACAGACCACGGCACATCGAACACATCGACGCCCCCTTGTTGGCTGAACCCCACCCCTTCCCCTCGGCCAGAGCCTCTCTCTCTCTTTCTCTCCTCTGTCGCTCTCCCCCTCTCACCTCGCTCCAGCCCAGTCACGCGGTCCACACTGCACATCCGCTCTAGAGGGGGCCGGCGCTGCTTGCCTGCCTCTCGGGTGCTGCTTTCCAGGTCCAGGGAGCCCTGGCTGCGTGATGGAGCCCCAGGACAACTCTCACATGCCAGGCCGCATTCCTTTCCCTCTCCCCAGCCACGAAGATTGTGTGCGCTGACTGAACTCTGGAGTGGCTGGGAAAGGTGGTGATGGTGATGGGACACCACGTGGTGATGGTGTGACGTTCCTGCTCCAGAGATATTCTGGGGGGTTGATCCGCTATTTCCACTGCTACCGCTGGTGTTGGCATGATGGTGGTTGGAATGATGGTGATTGCTGTGATGATGGTTTCCGCCTCCACCTCCGCCTCCATGGTGGTGGTGTCGCTGGGTTGGAGATGACGTGTTGGATGATGTCGAGGGCTGGGAGAGAGCCTCTTTCAAGACCTCAAGCTCCAGATTCTCTTTGCTTCCCCGACTGGTTCCCAGCATTCCGCTCTCTCCGGTGATGGTGTAGACTCGAGCAGGCTGCAGGGCACACTCCACACACTTCTGCTGGTCCTCCTCTGCTGAAAAGCTGCGCTCTAGGGATAACCGGCTCTTGGAGGATGTTGTAGGGGGTGGTGGTTCCAGAAGACCCAGGGCAGGGTTGATCAGGCTGGCGTCGGTGCTGATGGGGGAGCCCTGGAGGGTACAGCTGTGGTTGTTGTTCTGAGCACACAGGCTGTCTGGGGAGTCAGAGTCGTGGCCAACGAGGGTGTCAGACAGTAAGTGATCTTCAAATCAAACATTAGGACAGATGCAGAGAGAAAGAAAGAAAGAAGAACAAGAGAGATGCACAGAGAAAAAAGACGAATGAGGTAACAAATGCTACGTTAAGGAATGGCACAGTTCGTCATGAAACATGAATGCGCCTGGAGTCTAACAAAATTCACAATCTATAGGTGGATCAGAAATAAGAAGTACAAAGATTAACAGCAGAAAGAAAGAGGAATGGAGATGTCTGACCTGATCCGTTGCAGTTCTCAGGATGGGTGTGAAGGTACTCTCCAAATGCACGAGCTGCTCTGCAAAAGAGCACACACGCACTGGTCAATGCCGGCCACACACTGAGAATACAGTCACGGCTGAAGGATGGTGTTAGGAACGACATGCTGAGAAGTCACAAGAAAATGAGTCATTTTATTAATGAATTGTTTAAAACAAGGGTGCCCAATCCTCCTCATGGAGGCAGGCTTCCTCCAGACTTTAGCCCTAGCCAGCTCTTACACAATTGTCTGGAGGTTCTATGCTGTGTGTTCATGTAAAAGCACTTGTATAGCTGGTCTTATGTGCATAGTTAAGTATCTTATAGTATATGTTAGGTTAAGTTTAAAAAAAAAATTCTTATGTCCAGTGTTGTGTTTGTATTTATGATTAAATTTTATAGCACTGTTATCCTGTGAGACACGACACTTAAACAAACCAGGCCACGTTTTAACAACACCAACAGAAGACTGAATGCAAGACATGAGTACACATTCCACGATTCCAAGTGCCAAACGAAACCGAAAGCAACTAGACATAGCTCTGTGAATGAATACACCATGCCAAGAACAAAACAACAAACACACCAGGACGGGAACGCGCATCCTAAGCCTGGCAGGACCTCAAGCACCCTCATCAAGCAAAAGCGAGGCCAAGACAGCACACAATGACAAAAAATGAGTGCTCAACCCGAGGAAACTCGAGCCGAGCACAACATAAAAGACATGACAGGACTAGTGTCTGGACTCTGCCATTAAAACAAAAATTAACAAGACCAAAGGTGGCAGAATTCTGACATTGTAAAACTGATTGAGAACAATTTCGTGCAAAAAATTTAATTCTGAACTTTCATACAAGTTTGTAACGACATTACGATGAATAAATCTTCTAATCATTCTAATCATTTACTTTAATTAAAACTATCTACTTCATGGTAGGGTTGTCCAAACCTGTCCATGGAGGACCAGCAGTTGCGTTCATCTAATTTCATAATTACCATAACAGTATATTTGGCTGACTGGAAGTGTATAAGTAAAATTAATTAATTTTCCTTTAGCTTAGTCCCTTTATTTATCATTGGTCACCCAATGAAATGAACTGTCACTTAGTGACACTTATTCATCATGTGTTTTACACAGCGGATGCCCTTTCAGCTGCAACCCAGTACTGGGAAACATTCATACACACAAATTCACACACAGAAATTCCAATTGGCCCAGCCGGAACTCAAACTAGTGACCTTCTTGCTATGAGGTGACCGTGCTACCAACATCATAAGACGTTAATATTAGGTTAGACTTAGATTATGACATCAGGTGAACAAAATTCAATGCCTAGCCAACATCTAAGGACAACGTTATTTTGACGTCCAATAATGACGTCAAATTATATTGATATTTGGTTGATTTTAGGTTTTTCTGGAAAATGACTAAAATCCAATGTTTAATAGATGTCATATTGGTAACATCCACACAATGTCAAGGTGTAACATGATTAGACGTTGATACTTGGTTGATTTTAAGTTGGAAATTGACATCAGCCTGACGTTGGGTTCTGACGTCAACCTGATTTTTAATTCCAAGCAAAATCCAACGTCCCTATGAGGTTGGGGGAACGTTGGGGTACAACGCCAAATATGACGTCATGTTGCCTGCAAGGTAAGCACTGAGCCACCGTGTCGCTCTACAAGTAAAATATATATTTTAATTAAAAGCATAACATTTTGCTATGTGAAATCTATTCAATAGATTCCCACAGATCCCCTGAAATCAGCTTAGTCATTGGGACACAAAAACCACAGAAGCATCACACAGTGTAATCCAGCCCCAAATAATCCAGTGACCCTGTCAGCAGCTGATCACATTTAACATTTACTGCAACCCTTTCATTACTTAAATCCTATTTTAATGAATTAAACCCATCACGCTGTCTCTTTAAAGAGAACCGCAGAGCATTCAACCAACCACTAATGTCAGCTTGCACTTTAAAACATGCATATACTACAAGAAAACACATCAATATTTATCAGTCAGGTTGTTCTTCTGAGTGTAGCTTTTGCATGAAGATGTCCATGAAAAGCATGAGAGTTCATTTGCTGCTGTGCCTTATAGACTTTTATGTAAATGTCCTACATGTTTCAACACTTTTCTTTGCTCACAACTGGCACATTAAACTCTTTTACATACAAAGACATCAACCAAATTACATGTCTGATAATATGGCCACCTTTAAATGTACTCAACCAACAAAAAAAGGAAAAGATCAGTGAAGATAGACGACGATTCCTTAAATGTCTTTTAACTGTTCCTCCTCCCGGATCGGGCTGTCAGTTTCTCTCACTTCGTTTTCAATTTGAGCAATGACAGGCCCAGAGCGGACTACTCTTAGCTTCTTAATGTCACCTGCTAAGCTGACACCAGCCTTGGGTATAAAGGGCTTTCACAGGGATATGAGTAATTCTCCGACTGCATTGAGAGCTCTGAAAGCTGGACTTCTCAAACTGGAGAACTAGGCTGGATTTCTGCAGAGTGAAGGCTGAAATGAGGGGCAGGCATGCGGAAACGCATGTGACTGTGAAAAAGAGGGCATATGGTAGAAGGAAAGGTGGAAAAAAGAGTGACGGAGAGGAAGGGAGAAATAGAGGAGGATGAGCTGGAGGAGGAACAGAGATATGAGAGCTGTGTAAATGTAATTGGTTGCTTTGTATTTCAGTGCCACCCACAGATTCAGATGGAGCATTTTTATCTTTTCAGGCCGAGAGGAAGAATGTGGGAGAATGAAGGGTGAGAAAGGGACAAATGTTGACATGGTGATAAACGGAAGTGGAAAGAAGGAAAAAGACAAATGAGAGAGGTACAAGTGAAAAAGACAAGAATAAAACAATTACATAAACAAATACATGCGTATATACAGTATATTCAGTTCAAATCGAGCATCAGAATGGAGAAGAAAAGTAATTTAGCGTGGCATGATTGTTGGTGCCAGAAGGGCTGGTCTAAGTATTTTCTGAGTACACTGTTGATCACTGGGATTTTCATGCACAACCATTTCTTGGGTTTACAGAGAATGGTCTGAAAAAGAGAAAATATCAAGTGAGCGGCAGTACTGTGAGCGCAAATGCCTTGTTGATGTCAGAGGTCAGAGGAGAATGGCCAGACTGGTTCTAGCTTAAGGAAAGGCAACAGCAACTCAAATTACCACTCGTTACAGCCAAGCTATGCAGAAAGCATCTCTAAATGCACAACATTTCCAACTTTGAGATGGATGGGCTACAGCAGCAGAAGACACTGGGTGCCACTCCTGTCAGCTAAGAACAGGAAACTGAGGCTTCAATTGGCACAGGCTCACCAAAATTGGACAATAGAAAGTTGAAAAATGTTGCCTGGTCTGATGAGTCTCGATTTCTGCTGCAACATTAGGATGGTAGGGTCAGAATTTGGCGTCAACAACATGAAAGCATGGATCCATCCTGCCTTGTTTCAATGGTTCAGGCTGTTGGTGGTAGTGTAATGGTGTGGGGGAAATTTTCTTGGCACACTTTGGGCCCATTAGTACCAATTGAGCATCGTGTCATCGCCACAGCCTACCTGAGTATTGTTACTACCTGAGAGCTATAATAAAAATAAAACTACAAAACTACAATGTTATACTACAATAAATAAAAGAAAATTCAACATCTCATGTAAACTATACTAATAACATAAATAAAAAAACACTAATTAAAGTATAATTTATCTAGAAAAATCATTCAGCTACTAAAATAAATGTTAAAAAGTGTAAAATATTAAATGACAAGTACTGTATGTGGTTCAGCAAATATAATAAATAAATTACATATAACAAATTAATGTAAAACTGTTTCAAAGGAGCATAGCATGGCACATCACAATGGTTTGCATATTTGTATGAACTAATGTAAAAAGGAAAAACAACTTTGATTTCCTTGTATTAAAGGCTCATATGATGTAGCTCGATAACCCCGAGAGATGCTCTAAAACCTCATTCATACCAGCACATCAAAACAAGCACTAATTTGACACTTAATTCACAGGCAGCTATAAAGAGAGTGTCAGAAACAGAGAGAGCGAGAAGACGGATAAAAACTGAGAAGTGAACGTCACATCGCTTCCCAAAGGAAATATTTGTCACCACTGGCCCCTCGTAAACAGCAGGAATCAAAGAGACAGAAAGAGAAACACTAATTAGTTCGGGCCTAAAGGGAAGACCATCAGCAACAATCGATGACTCCAGCTGAGAATCACGGGAAATGACTTAACCAATCAGAACATCCGATTGCCATTTAAATAAATAATGAGGCCTGCATAACTGAAGAGACTTTCAGAAGCGCAAATGGACGCCTTGATAATAAGCGAACAACAGCTTATTCTGTTCAGCATACGGCGGCTCTGGCACTCGCAACTGTGTAAATCTCTGGGTGAGTCATTGCTTTTTGGGAAGCTGATTCAATCTTGTAGGAGACATGACGAATGAGTCCTTAATACGCTCCGGCTGAACCTATTTTCGCCACACAGACTAATATTTGCAGTCTATGGCAGGCCATTTTAACATTCAATCTATAAAAACGTAGAAGTGTCTATTTTCATCCTAATACTGTATTCTTTGGCTCACTTATCTTTCCCATGAAGCACTAGCACTTTATTCATTAGCTATTAGTGATTTTTCCCTTTTATTACGCGGCTCTCTGGAATACTTGATTCTGATTGGTCAATCGTGACACTTCATGGTATGCTATTGTGACAGCTCCTGAAACTAATAACACAGCCTCATTCAAGGACTTCAAATCCTCTCGACTATTGGGTTCTGCGAGAACAACCGGCTGGATGTACATTATCCCCTTTGAATACCTATACACAGAGCTGACTCGTGGCTCTATGACGTCCTAGACAAAAATGAATGGAATTTTGTATACAAGTGGTGAAAATAAGGGGTTACTGTCTATATTGGTATTGCCTATATGAGCAGATATATGAGCTATCCACTCACGGATCAGCTGATGGACGCAGATTTTAAATGCTCCATT